ATAACCTCTTTAAATGCATATTTTCTCAATTTTTTACTATGGTCCCGACGCTATGCATTTAGAGAGGTCTGACTGTATCTAGATCATTCAGATCTAAGTTCTACTTTGCATCTGTTCCTAGTTTCTAGCGCAACTGCGTTGTGCAGTTAACTTATTGTACATAATAGTGTACGTATAAAAAATAAATCATAAGTGCTGCACGGTAAATATTAGATACATGAACCTTTGGGGTCTAATGCAAGTCTAATTACATTAATCAATTTTTTCTATAATTAGTGGTGGCGTAAATAGTAAAACCATAAAATTTAAATTGCAATAACTCTTGAACAGGCAGGCAGAACCCACACAAATAAAATTATTTTGTGTGCTCTTTAAAGTAATAACGCTTTTTTTTATTGTAGCTTAGAGGAGAACTCAATTTTTATGCTAAATGGTAGAAATAGCCAGGGCGGCCCCCAAAGTGCCAGTGATGTAAATCATTTAGATAATACTATATATTTAACATTTAACAATAAGAGATGATTTGTATATATAGTATTACTCGATTGTTGAAGTGATTACGTCACTGGCACTTTGGGAGGGCCGCTCTGGCTATTTCTATTTTTGATGTTTTTTAAATAAAAATATCAAAAAACGTAACTTCGAAATTTTTTTGTCAATCACCATCACTATACGATTGACAAAAATGTTAAAGTTACGTTTTTGATACTTTTATTAAAAAAAACAACCATTTTGCACAGAATTGAATTCTCGCTATACTTCAAACAACAAAAAACATCATTACTTTAAAGAGCACACAAAAAAGAATTCGACAAATATAATTTTATTTGAGTTTAAATTTTTTATGTTTTTACTATTTATGTTACCATTAATAGATTAATGATCGTCACCAACAGTAATTAGACTTGCATTAGACCCCTTATTTTTAACATAAATGTGAGCGTGCAAGCTATTAGAAGCTACTAGCAATTTATAACAATGCCTTATCAGTGTATTGTATGCACTTCTTGTAATCGACCACAATTGATTAATTCTTTTGATCATAATTGTGGAGGGTTGTTGGTGCAGGTACGTATAATTTTTAGTGTACACCATGGTGCACCATTATATCTGCACCAGCAACCTAATTGAATAACAAAGATTAGATGTAAAAAAATTTAAATAGTCCAGATAATGTTTTATAAAATATTTGTTTCTTCTTACTTTCTCATTATTATTCATTCAAAATTTCTAGCAATGAATCCTTCTTTGCCGGAAGAATGGAAATCTTATGTGGGTGATGCAATCATTTTGTTATATATTTTATTGTGAAGCTTGAACTCATCATTTACGTTTTTGTTTAGGTTGATATGAATGGAAAAGTCTATTGTAAGTACAGTACTATAATGTATATTAAATTTTTTTTATTAAATATTTTTTATAAACAAATTTTTTAAAAGACTATAATACAAGAACTGGTATATCTCGGCAGGTAATTTTGATATTTATTTTTTTTTTGTTAAGTGTCTTGCGCTTATATTTAATAAATCTATATTTTATACTAGGATCCTCCTTACCCAATGCCGTCATTCCCCCAAATTTCTAATCAAAATACCGATACCAATACCAATATTTTACACCAGAATTCTTCTTACCAAATGCCAATTGCTCAACATTATAATTCAAATGTCAATACTTTAAACCAGAATCCTCTTTATTCAATGCCAATTCCTCAAAATTATTATCAAAATAATAGTAATACATCACAACAGCAAAACTACTCTCAAAATTCTAATCAAGATAATAATATATCACAACAGCAACACTTCTCTCAAAATTATTATCAAAATAATAATATATCACAACAGCAAAACTTCTCTCAAAATTATTATCAAAATAATAATAATACATCACAACAGCAAAACTTCTCTCAAAATTGTTATCAAAATAATATTAATACATCACAACAGCAAAACTTCTCTCAAAATTTTAATCAAATATCACAACAGCAACACTTCACTCAAAATTCTAATCAAAATAATAAGATATCACAACAGCAAAACTTCACTCAAAATTTTAATCAAAATGCTAATATGTCACAACAGCAAAACTTCACTCAAAATTCTAATCAAAATGCTAATATGTCACAACAGCAAAACGTCTCTCAAAATTCTAATCAAAATGCTAATATGTCACAACAACAAAACGTCTCTCAAAATTCTAATCAAAA